CCCCCCCAAAAAGAAAAATTTTAATTGCGTCATTGATGGAAATATGCCAGTTTCTTGGATTTCCTTATTTTGACGAGCACCTGATTTCACCGCGATGCCACACATGTGAACAAAGATGGAAAGAGTGTTTGGGTGTGCCCGGAGTGTGCCGGCCTCTACGGCTAATTCGATTTCCCCTCCTTTTTGGGTTTTTTTCCCCTTTCCTGGCTGTCTTTCTGTCCTCTGTCCTCTTCTCACCTTTTCACTTTTTCTTTTTTTCTTTCCCGGGTGGGTTAGATGGCATCACTGGTAGATCCTTTGTTTTTATTTTCCTTTTGTTGTTTGTTTGTGTCTGTCTTGCCCTTTGCATGCACCAAATGACCGTTATCTCGTCGACGTGCTTCTCTTAAGTAAGATACACGACAGACCCTACTTTTTATGTTCCTTCCATAATTGTTATTTTATCTATCCTTCCTACTTTTTCCTTGCACCGAATGACCTTTAGTTTGTCTATCTACTGCACTCCACTCAAATAAACAAACTTGAACCCCCCCCCCCCCTTTACAACACTTTCTTTTTTTCAAATTTATCACGAAACCCATGCGTGCATGAGCGCAGTTGGTGGTTGGCGGGCGCTCTGGTGTGATGAAATATATATATATCGTTTCCTCTTTTTTTTTTTTCTTTGTATGTTACTCTCAAAATGCATTTAATCTCTGGCACTTATATGACCTATTTGTGTCGCAAATGCCGTAAACCCCTTGCTATAACTAAAACTAAAACATATGAAGGGCGCGAGGGAAAAAACTTGGGATGTCGCTCTTTGGCTTCTTGAGAAAAACAAAAATGAAATGGTTGACAGTCTACGTTTTTCAACAGTGTAGCTTATTTTCCAAGCCTGACATTGGGAGACTCATCAGGTCTTAGCCCTGGACACGTAAAGGGACCGGTATAGGTGTGTAAACACTTTTCAACCCACGTCACAACTCAAATTCTTTTTAAAAAACGTACGTCTTTTGTTTTCCCCTTGTGCCCTTCATATCATAGGTATGGAGAGTGCGGTGGCGGAGCGGTTAGTGCGCTCATCTCCGAAGCGGAAAGTCCGGGTTCGAGCCTCGGTTCGGACACGGATTATTTTTCGGCCCCTCCTGCCCATCCAGCGGTAATGGGTACCGGACTTCGAGTTGGGGAAGTAAAGGCGGTGTGGAAAGGAACTGGCCACCCTACCACAAAATGCCGAAGGCCCAGGAAGTTGTCTCACAAACAAGACAATCCCCAATGTCCGGATCGGATGGGGGGAATAACTTTTACCCTTTATATGCACATGCACTCCTGAACATGTACCGTTGGTAGTCTTGTGGTTAGGAGGCTACTAGACCTGTAATCGTGAGATTGCGGGTTTTGGGGGTTCGAGTCTCTGTTAAATAAATATATAAACTACTTCCTCTTTCACCTTGACACCGCCTTTGCCTCTTCATGAACATGTTGCGTGTATACCGTATTACGCATTTCAGGGGATCCGGGGGGAAAAATTCCATCTAAACATGAAAAATTATACCGTGGTTAAGCAAAGTGTTGACAGGGGCGAGCGATAAACCTCTACCAAGTGGGTGGTTGGCGGGCACTCTGGTGTGCTTTTCTCCTTCTTTCCTATCCAACGTCTATCGTCCTGATCTCTCCTATTTCTTTTTTTATGTTTGTTACTCTCTTGTAACATCTCTAATCTTCGGCACTTATATGACCTTATTGTGTTGCAAGTGCTGTAAAACTCTTACTAAAAATTGTTTTTGTTTTTAAAAACGTCTACCATTTCACTTTAATCCACGTGTTTCCCCTGTACCAGGCGGCCTTGACCCGGTGTAGCCAGCCTCTCTCTGGCTTCTCTGCGCGCTGTGTGGAGGACGAGCAGATGCTGGAGGCCATCCTCAAGTCCAACCCCAAGTCCGAGTACATGTACGTGGTGGACACCCGGCCCAAGGTGAGTGATCGCTCCACGGGGTGGGCGATGGGGATGACTGTGACAATGTTTATTGTTGGACGATGCTGATAACTATGACAGTCTTTATTGTAGGACGATGGTGATCATAATGACAGGACAGTCTTTATTGTTGGACGATGGTGATGACAATGACAGGACGCTGATAATGACAATGACAGGATGATGACAATGACAGGACGATGATAATAATGACAGGACGATGGTGATGACAATGACAGGACGATGATAATGACAATGACAGGACGATGGTGATGACAATGACAGGACGATTCTAATGACAATGACAGGACGATGATAATGACAATGACAGAACGATGGTAATGATAATGACAGAACGATGGTGATGACTATGACAGTCTTTATAGTTGGACGATTACAATGACAATGTTTATTGTTGGATGATGATAATGACAATGACAGGAGGATGATAATGACAGTGACAGGACGTTGATAGTGACAATGACAATGACAATCTTTATTGTTGGACGATTACAATTACAATGTTTATTATTGGATGATGATAATGACAATGACAGGAGGATGATAATGACAGTGACAGGACGTTGATAGTGACAATGACAATGACAGTCTTTATTGTTGGACGATTACAATGACAATGTTTATTGTTGGATGATGGCAGTGACTATGACAGGCGGATGATAATGACAATGACAGGCGGATAATAATGACAATGACAGGGCGATGATAATGACAATGATAGGGACCATGACAATCTATAATATTGGTCAATGATAATGACAGTCTTTATTGCTGAACGATGATACTTACAATGATGACAATTTTTATTGTTGGATGATGACAGTGACAATGACAGAACGATGTATCGTTTGCACGTACTCGAGAAATATTCTCACAACATTCAAATAATAATTGTAAATGTTTTTAAAAAAACAAGAAAAGATACGCACTGTGAGCAGATTCTATAACTGTTTAAGGAATGAACGGGAGTTTTTCCTCTTTCCTGGGAAATTTTTCTTTGTAGGCTTAGAACATTTCCGACAAAATATGTCTAGGTCATTTATAATGACAACGCAACGGTGTTAAAAAAGTTCATGTGTTCTCACACGCACACGCCACAAGAAAAGACATTAAAGACATGTCTTACGTGCTGAAACACCAACTCTCTCTCTCTCTCTCTCTCTCTCTCTCTCTCTCTCTCTCTCTCTCTCTCTCTCTCTCTCTCTCTCTCTCTCTCTCTCTCTCTCTCTCTCTCTCTCTCTCTCTCTGTGTGTGTGTGTGTGCGTGTGTGTGTGTCTGTGTGTGTTGATTTGCCCCTTTGTTTCCATACGTCTGTTTATATTTTATTACGCTTTCAGAGAAAAGATGTTGGGGTCGGGGGCGATTTCGTTTTATTTTGTTTGGTTTTTTTGGTGGTGGGAGGAGGGGTAGTTTGGGTAGAAAAAGGGGGGGGGGGGGGGTATTTGGGGTGGAAAAGGGGAGGTTGGATTAAATTGTGAACAGTTGAGAAAACTTTTGCAGGCAGACATAACCCAGACGCTAATGAATGCCTTTTTTCCTGACAGAATTTTAGATGCATAGAAAAATAATCGAACCCTCTTCAGACATACCTCAGAACCGTCTGTGAAAATATGGAAGAGAAGGGCGAAATATTATAGATTTTCCTTACAGTTTTTCTTGGGTTACTTTTCGTTTGTTTGTCTATCATCAGAGGTTCTCAACCAGTGTCTGTGGTGAAGTGGTTAGGTGCTTCGCAGAAGACACGAGTTCGTTCTCAACCAATGCCTGTGGTGTAGTGCTTAGGCGCTTTGCAGAAAACACGAGCTCGATTCCCGAGTGGAATTTTTTTTTTCAATCGAGTATCTCGGTCTTTCTGCTTGGATGCTGTATCCTTCTCAGTCCGGGTTGGTCCTGAAAGGCTGGGCCGAAGCCCACCTCCTCCTAAAATAATGAATATTGTGTCAATGGAGGCGTGAAAAACTGCAATTTTATAAAAAAAAGAGGTTCTCGTAGCAGTTCTGTAATACCACTTTTCCATACTATTCATTTTTTTTCTGAGCAGGTGGTTTGCAGGCGTTCTGGTATGGTCTGCTCTGCTCTTTCTACTTCCTTTCAGAGTAACTCACTGTGATGGCATTTCTCTTTGCTGCGTCTCTGCTCACTTGTTGTTCCACCTGTCTCGGCGTGTGTGTGTGTGTCGTTCAGTGTGTCGTGTAGCTGTGCTGTGTCATGTGTCCGTTCACCTGTGTAATTGTCGTCGCTCGCTGTTTACTCACTCGAGCGAGTTGAAAGGATTTTTTGTTGTTTTTTTTTGTTGTTGATTTTTTTGTTATTTCTGTTTTGTTTTGTTGGGGGGGGGGGTCGTTGTTTGTGAGGGTTTTTGTGTGTGCCGGGCGGGGGGCGGAATAAGCGCTTTATCCACGAGTGCTAGAACTTGCGAAACATGTATAATTAGCTCTGAACAGCTCACTGACAGCTTTGACATCGAGACTGGTGTGAGACAGGGCGTGTGTTTGCTATCACCTTTCCTTCTCATCTCGGCGATCGCTGGCTTTTAATAAAGTCAAACGTTTCAAGTATGGCTCGTTCGTCTTGCTTGCCTCGTGACACAAACTGGGATTTTTTTCGCAGCTCTTGGCAAGATGTGAAGAATGGTGTCAGTAACCAGCGCTCAACCTTTTTTGTGTTGTTTTGTTTTGTTTTGTTTTTATTTCATAACAGCTTGTGTTGTCAGAATTCATCGCCCGGGCGATCAGAGCACCCAGATTGGCTCGGAGGGGTCGCTCTGTGGAATAATGGCGTCTGCTGTTTGCTCAGCTCAGCGTACAAACACCGGATATGGAATCCGGCCAGATCGACTGGTCGCTGAC